GGTGTCGAGGGTTTGGGATATACGTGTTGACTGGCCCGCGGGCAGACAAGAGCGAACAGTCTTAAAATGATTGATGTTGTTGTTGCTGCTGCTCTGTTATCGTTTTTGAATTCTCATTTCTGGAGAAATATTGCTGATCTCCGGAAACGGTTCCGCGCGCTCTCGCTCTGACGCCAGCTACAGTTTACGAGGCTCCCGCTCGAGCGGGGGGGGTTGGATTTACATGTCGATTCTTGAAGGCCCAGCTACGACGACATCGGCTCCCGCTCGGTACTTCCTCGCAATTTATTCCGAGACGCCCTGGCCAGAGAGGCCCCCGAACTCAGGAACGGCGCTCTCGCTCGAGACTCCCTCGCAATTCGTTCAAGTTGGTGGAGGCCTAGCTGCGACGACAACGACTCCCGCTCGATACTTCCTCGCAGTTTATTCCGGGACGCCCTGGCCAGCTCAAGTTGGTGGAGGCCCAAGTGCGACGACAGCGGCTCCCTGTCGATATTTCCTCGCAGGTTCTTCCGAGACGCCCTGGCCAGAGAGGCCCCCAAACTTAGGAACGGCGTTTTCGTTCGAGATTTTTTTGTAATTCATTCAAGTTGGTGGAGCCGCTCGATACTTCCTCTCAGTTTATTCCGAGACGTCCTGGCCAGAGAGGCCCCCAAACTCAGAAGCGTCGCTTTCGCCCGAGACCTCGCAATTTGTTCAAGTTGGTGGAGGCCCAGCTGCGATGACAACGGCTCCCGCTCGATATTTCCTCACATTTATTCCGAGACGCCCTGGCCAGAGAGGCCACCGAATTCAGGAACGGCGCTCTCGCCCGAGACTTCCTTGCAAGGTGGTGGAGGCCCAAGTGCGACGACAGCGGCTTCTTCTCGATACTTCCTCGCAGTTTCTTCCGAGACGCCCTGGCCGGAGAGGCCCCCAAATTTAGGAACGGCGCTCTCGCTCGAGACTCCCTCGCAATTCACTCACATTAGTGGAGGCCCAGCTGCGACGACAACGGCTTCCGCTCGATACTTCCTCCCAGTTTATTCCGAGACGCCCTGGCCGGAGAGGCCCCCAAACTCAGAAGCGTCGTTTTCGCCTGAGACTTCCCCGCAATTCATTCAAGTTGGAGGAGGCCCAGCTGCGACGACAACGGCTCCCGCTCGGTACTTCCTCGCAGTTTATTCCGAGACGCCCTGGCCAGAGAGGCCCCCAAACTCACAAGCGTCGTTTTCGCCTGAGACTTCCCAGCAATTGATTCAAGTTGGTGGAGGCCCAGCTATGACGACGACGGCTCCCGCTCGATACTTCCTCGCAATTTACTTCCGGGCGCCCTGGCCAGAGAGGCCCCCAAAGCCAGGAACAGCGCTCTGGTTCGAGACATCTATGTTCGCCCCAATGGATAAAAACACAGCCGCGAGGGCACCGATTCCCGCTCGATACTTCCTCACAATTTGCTCCCAGGCGCCCTGACCAGAGAGGCCTTCCAATTTAGGGACGGCGCTCTAGTTCGAGACATCTTCGTAATCCCCTACAGTTGGAAAAGGGCCAGCTACGACGACACTCCCGCTCTGCCGCCTGTACTTCTGCTCCTTACCATCCTCCTTCAAATCTTCTCGTGCTCATCCTTCTCCCTCCCCCTTGTCTCTTCCCTCCTCCATTCCCCAGTTTTAGCGGCTGCGCCAGCTACGCGCGGAAGGTAGGGAAGACATACCCCCCAGAAGGGTACGATCGAAGACGAACAGGGCGGGTGTCGAGGGTTTGGGATCTACGTGTTGACGGGCCCGCGAGCAGATAGGAGCGAAGAGTGTAAAACGATTGTTGCTGAGATGATGATGATGATGATGATGATGATGATGATGATGATGATGATGATGATGATGATGATGATGATGATGAGGATGAGGATGAGGATGAGGATGAGGATGAGGATGATGGTGATGGTGATGGTGATGGTGATGGTGGTGGTGGTGGTGGTGGTGGTGATGATGATGATGGTGGTGGTGGTGATGATGATGATGATGATGATGATGATGATGATGATGATGATGATGATATGATGCTGATGATGATGAATGATGATGATGATGATGATGATGATGATGATGAGATGATGATGATGAGGAGATGAGGAGGAGGAGAGAGGAGGAGGAGAGGAGGAGGAGGAGGAGGATGGAGGAGGAGGGAGGAGGAAGAGGAGGAGGAGGAGGAGGAGGAGGGAGGAGAGGAGGAGAGGAGGAGGGAGGAGGAGGAGGAGGAGGAGGAGGAGGATGAGAGGGGAACGAGGGACGGGGAGAAGGAGGAGGAGGAGGAGGAGGCTTGACAAGGGGGGCGCGTCCACCACTCCAGGCCTCACAGCTGGCGTTGCGGGGAGTGGCGCAGGCGGGTGCAGCCAGACTTACATTTTCGGCCAGAAAAACGAACCGAGAGATGTGCCAGGAATATGACATGCACGCATGGGGATCTCCGCGTCGAGTACCTCTTCCCCACATAGTGCTTGCACTTGGGAGTATTATGGCTTGTCCCCTAGAGAGCTGGGCCTGCGTGGCCGTCCGGGCGGCATGTGGCCGCCTGGGCGGTCCATGCGTGGTCCGTGGTAGAGGATCCCTCCTCGGTGCATGTGGTGCCGCAGTTTGAGGCCGAGGGGCATGTAGCTTTCGTCGATTCGCTGCAGAATCTTCTTCACTGAGGTGTTGCTTCGCGAAGACGATGTAGCCGCCCGTCGCCGCCGCCCGTCGCCGCTGGTAACTCGGCCTGCGTGGCGGTCCGGGCGGCATGTGGCCGCCGCCGTCGCCGCTGGTAACTGAGCCCGTGTGGCGGTCCGGGCGGCATGTGGCCGCCCGGCATCGCCGCCCGTCGCCGCCCGTCGCCGCCTGTCGTCGCCGTTGCCGCTGGATTGCTTTGCATTGATTTTGCATCGCTTTGTATCGATTTGCATTGCAATTGCATCGCATTGCATTGCGATTGCAATCGCATCGCAATCGCATTGGTTTGCATTGCTTTGCATCGAGCTACATCGCACTACATCGTATTCCAGTGCTTTACATTGCATTGCGTCGCTTTGCGTTGCATTGCGCTGCATCGCGTTATATTGCTTTGCGTTGCTTTGCGTTGCTTTGCGTTGCTTTGCATTGCTTTGCATTGCTTCGTTTTGCATTGCTTTGCATTGTATTGTTTAGCATTGCTTTGTATCACAATGCGTTCCACTGCTTTGTATTGCTTTGCATTGCTTTGCATTGAACTGCATTGCTTTGCGCTGCTTTTTACTGCTTTGCATTGCTTTGTATTGCTTTATGCCGCATAGATTGCACCACATAGGTTGCACCACCTACGGTCAAAGTGCATAGTCAGGATGAGCAACTGCAACTTTCCAAGGTTACCCTTGCATCCTTCACCTCCAGCCCATCCTTCGCCACTTTCGCTGGCCGAACCCCGGTCGAGAAGTGTCGACATGACCTTCAAGGCCCTTGCATCCTAACCGTGCATCCTTATCATACGCGTTGACTGTAGGTTGCAACGCACGGATTGCATCACCTAGATTGCAGCGCATAAATTGCACACATCACGGTTTGGGGTCCACGCTGGCTTCTCCTTCTCTCTCCCACTCTCTCTTTCAGATGCTCTCTCATTTTTTTTTTTTCTACCTCTCTCTCGCTTCCTCCCCCACTCACCCCCACTTTCTTCTCTTGCCTCTCTCTCTTCCCCCTCTCGCCGAGATGGGGTGCCGCCAGAGCGCCCGGGCCTCTGGGAGACGCACTCTAGCCTTCCAGCCTCCCCCCCCTCCCTTCCTCAATCCTCCTGCCTTTGTCATTCTTTTCCTCCACACCTACTCTCGTCCTCGCCCTCCCCCTCCCCCCTCTCCCTGTATCTCCTCCCACACCCTTCCCGCAGGGGGATGGGCTCAGGGGGGAGGGCATCGACACCTAATCGCCCAATCATCGCCGCTCGGGGCCTGATATCCCACTCCGCCCAGGAACGTGCTGTTTCTCTGGCCTATCGCCGCTCTGTCGGCGATGTTTCACGGAATCGAGGTCAACGCCTCCTCCCCTGAGCCAGTCCGCTGCCCCTAAATACCCCTCCCACCTCCCCTCCCTGCCCCAGCTCTGGCAGCCCCGTGACCCACGCGGTTCTCACGACCGCAGGTGCCTGGGCCGTTTTGCAGAGCTCTGGTGTTATGATGTTCCAACCTACCTTAGCCTCGATCACCATACATAATTTTGAGCACCAAGAAAGTACCGAGACTGGAGGGTTTCCACGTGTCGGGCCCTGGGAGGCGGCACTCCTTCGACACTGTTTCGGTATTTTTCTGGGTGCTCGAACGTATTTTTGGAACTCGGTCCTTAAGTAGGATTGGAACAACATAACTTTGATGCAGGGGGAGACACGCTCCCCATCTCCGCCTCGCAGACCCATCGGGTGGGTAAGTACAGAACTGACATGTTCGAGGCCACGGGCGGACTGCGACCTGCAAGCCGCTGTGCCCCACGAGACTGGCTCTATCTAGCTAGGCGTGTGTGTGTGTGTGTGTGTGTGTGTGTGTGTGTGTGTGTGTGTGTGTGTGTGTGCGTGTGTGTGCGTGTGTGTGTGCCTGGAGTGCCGAGCGCGCGGAGCCATACCCTGAGCTTCCTTCTCCTCCTCCTCCTCCTCCGCCTCCTCCTCCTCCTCCGCCTCCTCCGCCTTCATCTCCATCTCCTCCTCCTCCGCCTCCTCCTCCTCCTCCTCCTCCTCCTCCTCCCCGTCCTCCGTCTCCTCCTCCTCGCCCTCTCCCTCCCCGTCCCCCTCCCCCCCCTCCTCCTCCTCCTCCTCCTCCTCCTCCTCCTCCTCCTCCTCCTCCTCCTCCTCCTCCTCCTCCTCCTCCATCTCCATCTCCATCTCCATCTCCATCTCCGTCTCCTCCTCCTCCTCCCGCTCCTTCTCACGCCCTAGATGGATCGCGGAGCTCGCGCGGTGCCGCCGCTCGCTTTGCTTTGCGTCCGCCGTGCGCCCGGCCCCCGGGTGTTTTGGCCCATGCGGGCCTCGAGGTGCAGTACTTGCGCGGGACCATCCAGCGCACGCAGCAGTGGGACGTGATGGTCCCCGGCCTCCACGGACTTCGATTCGCTTGCGCTCCACCTCGCGAGGAGAAGGAAGGGGAGGAGGAGGAGGAAGCGGACGCGGAGGCGGAGGAGGAGGAGGAGGAGGAGGCGCAGGAGGAGGAGGAGAAGGAGGAGGAGGAGGAGGCGGAGGCGGAGGCGGAGGCGGAGGAGGAGGAGGAGGAGGAGGAGGAGGAATAATATATACCAATAGTAAGACACATAAGACAAATCATATTATTTAGAAGAAGAGTAAGACAATTCAGGCTGATAACCATAATGATACCCGTACTAAGAAGGAGCATCACCATACTCAGACTAATAGTAATACTGAGAACACGACAGAACATATAACTGACACTACGAAGAAGACACATGATACTTATCAGTCGAATACTGATAATAATACGGCGAAGAGTAATCCGACGACACACAATATTAACACATATGATTATTGCAATATGTACAGCACGTAGACATACGAAGACGACCACTACTACTACTATTATTAATGACAACAACAAGGTCAATACACATAATACTAAGAACACTACTACTAATGGTACTACTACTATATATACTACGAGGGATAATACCACTAAGAATACGACTGGTAATAATAGCACCAATACTGGTATGAATAATGTTTGTACGCGTATTAATACAAATAGTTAGGCTAGTGCTACAATGAAGCTGTTCATAATATTAAAACGGAAGTCGTACTGCTACTATGACGAAGCATAATACCGATACTACTACTCGTAATACTCAGACGCAGGGACTAGTAATAAGAAACCTAGTATGAAGACGCATGAAAAGTCTACAAGTAATAATGCGAATAATGATAATAAACGGGCGCGCGCATATCGGTGCCCCTGCTTATCTTGTGAGCCGCATCATCTGAAAGGCCCCACTTTACACGTGACACATCCTCGCACATGTATGTATGTGTCTGCGCATGCAGCCGATCAACGCACAACGTGCACGCGTATTCTTTTCAAACCCACGTAGGCTCAGTGCAGGCAAGCGCGAGCGACTGAGGCGTCCCCCAACCAGACATAACTGCCGACGCCTAGTCAAATCACCTGCGTGCGGTCCAAGCCTCCGCCTGCCACGGCTGCTTTCCATCGAGTCGGTGCCAATCCTTTGGCTTGCAATGTATTTGGTTGCACCCGGTTGGATTGCGACCGCCTAAGTCTCCTTGCTTAGAACGGTTTCAACGCGAATCCTTGTCTGGAGGATTTCTATAGGAATCCTTCGGTGGAGGATTTCAATAGGAATACTTCTGTTGAGGATTTCAATAGGATCTTTCTGTGGAGGATTTCGACAGGAATCCTTATGTGGAGGATTTCCCCTTCCCACTCCTCCTCATCCGCCTCATTTTCCTCGTCCTCTTCATCCGCCTACGTCTCCTTCTTGTGAAAGGTTTCGCTAGGAACCCTGCTGTGGAGGATTTCACTTGGGATCCGTATGTGGCGGCTTTCAGTAAGAACCTTCTCCTTGTCCGCATCATCTTCCTCCTCCTCCTCCTCCTCCTCCTCCTCATCCGCCTCATTCTGCTTTTTGTCAACCTTCTCCTCGTCCGCCTCATCTTCCTCTTTCTCCTCCTCGTCCGCCTCATTATTCCCTACATCCTGAGTGGGGTTCTTGTTTTCCCAGAACGCCCTCTCCTTCCCACCCACCTCCCGCTCCATCTTCCATACAGCACAATATTATTCCTACCACACACACCATACCATACCATAGTTCCTACCACACATACCATACCATACCATACCATACCATACCATATCACACCACATGCCACCCCTGCAGGGAGGCCCAGCCTGAGCGAGGAGGGTATCGGAAAACCATACTATTTACATGGTTTCGTGCCCCTCCCACCTCTCCAGGGAGAGCGAGGAGGGTATCACCATACTATTTACATGTTTCGTGCCCCTCCCACCCCTCCAGGGAGGCCCCGCCTGAGCGAGGAGGGTATCGGAAACCATACTATTTACATGGTTTCGTGCCCCTCCCACCCCTCCAGGGAGGCCCCGCCTGAGCGAGGAGGGTATCGGAAACCATACTATTTACATGGTTTCGTGCCCCTCCCACCCCTCCAGGGAGGCCCCGCCTGAGCGAGGAGGGTATCGGAATACCATACTATTTACATGGTTTCGTGCCCCTCCCACCCCTCCAGGGAGGCCCCGCCTGAGCGAGGAGGGTATCGGAATACCATACTATTTACATGGTTTCGTGCCCCTCCCACCCCTCCAGGGAGGCCCCGCCTGAGCGAGGAGGGTATCGGAATACCATACTATTTACATGGTTTCGTGCCCCTCCCACCCCTCCAGGGAGGCCCCGCCTGAGCGAGGAGGGTATCGGAATACCATACTATTTACATGGTTTCGTGCCCCTCCCACCCTCCAGGGAGGCCCCGCCTGAGCGAGGAGGGTATCCGAAAACCATACTATTTACATTGTTTCGTGCCCCTCCCACACCTCCAGGGAGGCCCCGCCTGAGCGAGGAGGGTATCCGAAAACCATACTATTTACATGGTTTCGTGCCCCTCCCACCTCTCCAGGGAGGCCCCGCCTGAGCGAGGAGGGTATCCGAAAACCATACTATTTACATGGTTTCGTGCCCCTCCCACCCTCCAGGGAGGCCCCGCCTGAGCGAGGAGGGTATCCGAAAACCATACTATTTACATGGTTTCGTGCCCCTCCCACCCCTGCAGGGAGGCCCCGCCTGAGCGAGGAGGGTATCCGAAAACCATATATTACATGGTTTCGTGCCCCTCCCACCTCTCCAGGGAGGCCCCGCCTGAGCGAGGAGGGTATCCGAACACCATACTATTTGCATGGTTTCGTGCCCCTCCCACCTCTCCAGGGAGGCCCCGCCTGAGCGAGGAGGGTATCCGAACACCATACTATTTACATGGTTTCGTGCCCCTCCCACCCCTCCAGGGCGGCCCCGCCTGAGCGAGGAGGGTATCCGAAACCCATACTATTTACATGGTTACATGGTTTGCTGCGGTTCCTGCTGCTGCTCTTCGCCATCATCCATCTTATCCTCTTCCTCCTCCTCCTCCTCCTCCTCCTCCTCCTCCTCTTCCTCCGTAGCCATTTTGGCTCAGGCCGTGTTCCCCGCTTTCTCCGCAGCCTTTTCGCCCATGTTCGGCGGCTCGGCGGCGGCGGCGGCGGGCGCGCCCTGGATGGCTGCGGGGGGCTGCCCGCCGATGTGGCGGCCCAGTGTTTTGAGGATCATGGAGAAGGACTTCCTCGGCGCCTCCGCGGCGAGGCGTGCTGCTCGACGGCGCGGTCGCGCTGCTCTGGAAGCAGCTCTGCGGCCGCTTGTGGCGGCTCGCGGCGCCCCAGGCTCGTGGGTGGACCGCGAGCGCGCGTCGAGGCCGGCTCTGCAAAGGATTGCCGCAGGAGGTCGTGTTCCTGGCGCGATGCGGCTGAGGCGGAACGCCGCCTGGCACGCGTGCCGTGTGCCGCCTGGCGGCTTCACAGCCGCGTCCTCGGCGGATCTGTCCTGGGCTGCTGCTGGGCCTCGGCTGGGGCACTCTGCTGGTGGCATGCGGGCTGAGGCCGCGTCGTTCGTGCCGCGGGCTGCATGCCGTGCGATGGGCGTGCGGTGCAGCTGCGGGGCGGTCGCTTTCTCATCGTGCTGCTTGCCACCTCCTGCTGACGGCCTGGCGTCGCCCGACGCGTCGCTCGTGGAGGATGAAGGATCCGAGGCGCCCGAGGGGGAGCGGTGGGCTGGCCCTGGGGAGGCCACCGCCTGCTCGTCCTCCCCGATGGCGCCGCCCTGCTCAGACGCGACCCTGGCCTACCTGGAGGCGCACCCTGCTGCGGTGCTCAATGGGTGCAACGAGGCCGAGGACGGGAGCTGCCACGTGAAGGTACCGACGGTGGAGGTGGAGGGACGCGGCGTGTTCGTCGCGTCGGACTGCGTGGGCCCCTCCAAGAGCGACGAGTCCGTCTCTGGCTCGGACTCCCTGCAGTACCAGAATGCCACCGCCGAGGCGACCGCGGAGGACTACAGCGAGAAGATCAGCGAGGCGATCCGCGAGGCGGGCCTCGTGCGGCGGCTGCCTGATGTACCGCCGTGGCTGCTCGAGGTCTCTGGTTCTGATCCTGGTTGTGCCCGTTGCGATGGTACCCTCGTTCGTCGGCGACGCGGGCCTGGGAGGTGCTCATGCAGGGCATGCGGAATGCCCATTCCTCGTGGAGCGGTTGTGGCAGCCTGTCCGCGCTGCCGTTCGTCGTGGCACAGTTCGTGTCTCAGGCGTTTGTTCGACGAGGATTGGGACGACTCTGGCAGCTCTTCATGATGCCGTGCGTGCTCCTGTCCGTTGAGGTCTTCTTCGGGTTCACGCTTGTGGTGGGCTTCACGGCAGGTGTGACGTCAGCGGCGGGGCAGGGCTGGTGGCGAAAGTGGCAGGTGGCGCCACCCAGCCCTGTCCCCTCCTCTGGGGGGAGGCGCCGTCCCCCCAGAGAGTATGGCTTGGCAGTTGTCGATGTTAAAAAAAATCCTCCTCCTCTTCCTGGAGGGTATCGGAAAACATGCTGTTTAAACGGTTTCGTGTCCCCCCTCCACTCCTCCAGAGAGGCCGCGCTTGAACGAGGAGGGTCGCGGACAACATTACTCTTCGCCAGGTTTCGTAGCCCTCCCCCCTTCCAGCGGGGCCCCGCCAAAGCGAGGAGGGCACCAAGAAAATGGGTCCCGCGAAACCGTTAATCTCTTTATGTGGGGAACTCCGTTAGCATAATGCTTTTTGCCAAGGGTTTCAATAGCAATCCTTTGAGAAGGGGGCGGAATGAAGGGCGAAGAGAAGGAACGGGAGGAGGAAAAGAAGGAGGCGGAGGAGGAGGAAACCGAGGAGGATGAGGAGCGAGACGAAGGTGAGGCGCAACGCATTACTCACGAAGCTCGTTGTGGAGCTGCGTTCGCAACTAGATTTGTGAGTGACGGCTCGATGCGGAGATGAGCGGGCAGAATGAAAAAGAGGA